CTTGGTCCCTGTGTAATTATTAATGACTTTCATAGAAAGTAGTTTTGGGATAGAATAAACTTGAATAAATAAATGTTTTTGTTATAATTGGATATTGACAAGTTTTGTTACCACTGAGACCAAGAGTACTGGTAATGTAAGCTTTCTCCCTCAGTAATTACAACTCGGAATCCCCTCTAAGGAGGCCCAAGGTTTTACTTTCTCTTTGGCTCTGTATGGATAACGACCTGTATATCAGCATTCTACTGACATGTAAACATTTCATATTGTAATTAATTTTTTGTTGTTAAAAGATTTTTTGACACAAAGTAAAATTGATTGGATTAAATGGTTGGCAAATAAAGCTTAGGGTAGGGGGTCTTTATTGTATGGATGGGAAACTTGTATGTCAGAGAAAGGGCTTAAGGGAGGTAACTCGGTAAGAAGGGTATTTTCATTAACATTGGAAAATGGAAGCTTGATGCCTCCATTCCATCAATGTCAAGGGGCTTCATATTGTAGACTTTTTGGAATAAGAAATTTACAGCAGTAATATGTACTGAGATGAGATGGATGATTGTGGTATTTTGGATACCTCAACTGATTATGTAAGACTAAAATGGTCATAATTGTCTGTGAAGCCTGCTGATAAGGACGCTTAAGCATTTAGGAATATAATGACCCAATAAATGTAGGAAGTTTGTCCAGGAATGCTGTTGTTATTTTGAAGCTAATCACGGCTATATCTGATTATCTCTCACCTTGGCTTTGTTCACTGTCAGAAGCCATTAGAGCGCTCGTCAGCTCCTTGCATGAGCTGCAACACAACAGCAGCAGAATCGCTGCTCCTGGCAGCTGGCTCCTGGTGTGATGACCAGACGGACCTTGATGACAAGGGCAACCGTTCTGTGACATTTTATCAATCCCGATCACTGCTCTCCTGTGAAAGGCTATTGTGAAATAATGAAACAGTTGCTAAGATATGTAAAATTGATATGTCAATTGAAAAATAGATTGTGCAAGACGAGATATTGATTCAGAATTAAATTTTACATTTGTGTATGTTTGTGTGAGAGAGTAATAGGTAATCTTTTGTCATTGGTGATTTTTTAATTGATTCAGTAGGCAGAAAACTTGCGAGTGACTCTGTGAGGTATTTTGTGTTGTTTCCATTCAAATAAATCTTCTTTTAATGTGAGGTTTAATGCGTAGATCTGTGTGATTAATACCAAAATCTATAAAATCTTGGTTGCCCTTGGCAACATTGATAGGGATGTACATATCTTAGGAGAAGTCATGATTTGCAGTGTTTCACAGGGATCAAATCCAATATTTGGACATTGTCCCAGGTTTTGGTCAGTGTTCCTATTGGAAGATAAGTATTTCACCATGCTTGTTGAAAGTATGGCAATTTATTATCATTGAAAACTCCTTGGTATTAGACAATGTATAAGGAACTGAAGGAAATAGAAATGAGAACAAAACATTCAGCAGTCTAACATTATAGATATCAGAGAAAATGATGATCATAAGTCTGTTAATGTGTGTAGAATGACGTATGTAATATATATCAATCATTTCCTAGGATTGACTCATTAAAAGACCAGATTGGGCTGTCTCAACCAAAAACAACCACACACATTTACCGCTTCTTCAAACACTGTGGCTTTTCTAAATGTGAATGTGTTACTTTATCAAAAAATCTGCATTCCCAAACAAAAGGTGAAGCTAGGAACCTCAGGTCTATGACGGATCACCGCAATAACATTGAACCATCAAATTATTTCGAATTTGAAAAGTTAAGTGGCATGACTCATAACAGGTACAAAATGTCTTCCCAATTATTTATAGAATTTTATAATTGACAAGAAACGCATAGGTGTCTGAGGCCTTAGAAAGGATCAAAATTTGAAATAAATGTTTCTCTCTTTAAAGTTTGTTTCTTATTTGAAAAAGAAGTGGTCTAGAATTTTGTTTATGCTGGGGGTTGAGAGTTCAACTTGCTTTATCCTTGGGAATCATATTAGGCTTGAATGATGAGTAGATTGTAAGGCCTAAAGAAGGGTGGTTAAAGCTGCATTCAGGGCTGAGATTGGGTCCAAATGGATGATGATTTTGTTGGGGATGACATTGATGCTGCTTCAGTAAGGGATCTTTGATTGATATGGACAGTGGTCCTTCTACAAAGAGGCTTTTTTCTATCATCATTGACAACCGTCAGTGAAGAAATTGCATTGTGACTGGGATGCAATTAGTGAATGCATTCACTTAGAATGGCTGCTAGCCAAGCTCTTCAACCAAATTTCTTGTCCATCAAAACCTGTATTATTGGAAATATGCCTGATAAAATTTTCTCAAACGTGTCCTTTCCAAAGCCAAAGAATCGAATGTTTGGCAGATGTATGCAAAAAATAGAAGCAGATTTCCATTCTGTGTTTATTCTAGAAATGAAGAGAGATTAATGTGCCATACAAATTTTTTGTCATCTCAACACTTAAACTTACTTGCCATACGCGTGCAGATTTCTGTATGAACATGCATTCAGTTTTTGATAAACTTTCTGCTTTAAGTGAACACTGAACAAAGTCCTCAGCAAATGAAATTAATTTTTTTAATAGAATGAAATAATGAATTTTGTAATGCTCAAGTTCAACAAAGGACTAGGTATAATAAGAACAACTTAAGTACCCACCTTCTTCCCACCCAGCAAACATTTTTGAAATAAATTCATTATTATATTATTAGAAATCAAATGTAAAAACTTTATTTTTGACAAGAATTTTTCCAAGAATAAAGCAATGTAAAAAATAAATTTTAAAGTTTGCATATATGCATGGCCAACATATAAGAAACTACATGATATTGGCCAACAAGTTAGACCTGAGTTGTCTTTAGATTTGTCCCCCTATAAATAAACTGAAGGGTACCATTTATTCAAAATGAACGTCTGGTTGGTCTTAAGATTTTAACATGCCGTCTTATGGTGAAATTTGAGCCCATTTCTTCATATGGTGGTATGGACTAGGTGAACTCGAGGCAGATCACCAACATTGTAGGTATTCTGTAAGGGCCATGCACAGTCACAGATGGCTGGTAGATCTCAAAGGGAATCCTTGTTGAATTCATTTATAATACAATCTGATCGATTTAAAGATGAAATGTTAATGTGTTATGTAATGTTCTTAATGCTTTGGATGGCTCAATTTTATTTTAATCAGGTGTTTAAAATTTGTAAGTTGAAAGATGTGTTTGTTATTCAGGGTCTTATAGTATCAATGCAAGTTTAATATAAATTATACGTATTGATCATTTCAAGGTATTGATAATGATAAATTTCACTTTGTGGGATTTTAAAATCGGAGCCCAATTTGTAAAACATTTTTTTTTACTTCAATTTAATGAACAAAAAAGTTTGAGGCTCATGTTTAACACTTCTTTTTTGTCTTATTGTCATGAAGCATTTTACCTGACATGTAAACAATACAGGCATTAACAGCCATTTACTAGCGGAAGTGCAGATACCATCCAAGCAAAATGTCCCAACCAATCACTATTGTTTCGGGTCTTTTTGTCTACAAACCAAGCTGAAAGATCTTAGTCACATTATTATTGAAAAATGCATGTATATTCACTACTGCCCCTTTAAATATAGAGATGGTAAAATTCAGAAATTTTTTTGTTGGTAAATTTGCTTGTGTCACCCCTAGGAGGCCACGACACCTATTTCGTTAGGCCTTTTCTCCCAAGCATCTTAAATTGCAGCCAAAATCATCATATCATTTTATAGCTTTTCCTGTTGTCATGATTGGCTCATAAAATGAAGGGACTGTGTACTATAAATAAAGAGAAATTATGTAACAATATTCTTTGCCTTTGTACTTAATTGCAGGTTAATTGTCTGGGGGGATCTTGTTCTATTCTTTACTGGGAACATTTTTATTGTCATCATTATACAAAGATATCAAAAAAGTTATTTATCTTGAGAAACCAATAAGACACTAAGTGATTTTTTGGTGGGAAATGGGGAAAAAAAAGACTTTGGAACATTGTGGAATGTAGTATGATGGTATAAAGAGTGGCCTGTTGTGTCCCTGTCTCTGGAAATGATGTGATCACAAATGTTCATATTGATTGTTAGTGAGCAGCATTGATGCCCAGATATTTTTGAATTGGTATATACCACAATCACAAAAGACCCACTTGGTGTGTTAATTTTATGTGGTAGATGATCAATACCAATGAAGTCGGGCTGCATTCATTTTCCCAATTATTGTTGAGCAGTGGTGAAGTTTAGTTATCAGTCAGAAACTCTAACTATCCCCTTCTGAGCCCTCATTAGGGTGCTTAACAATTTTAATTGTCATATTCTGTATTATGATGCTGCTGCTTCCAGATATTCCCTTTTTGTTTTTTAATGAGTATCCCATCCAAGCTGAATTCAAAATTTCCTTAAACTCAAATGCACACATTAATTTTTCTTTCTCTCTCTGCCAAGTTGTGTAATGTTATCCTTGGGGGGAAATGATTAAGTCTTGAAGATTCTATTTAGATTGTCATGTCTGGCATAAAAGCCATGATTTGATGTTTTAATTATGTTTAATTGATTAGCATATACATAAAAATTAAATCTTTTAAATCTTGTGTAATGCTGAAAATGTTTATGGTTCTTAAAGGGACAGAATTTTAAAATTCCATTCATTGAATTGTGAAGTGTTTATAATAAACAGATTTTTTTTTAATTTCCCACACACAGTTTTGTAAAATATTTTGCATTGTCATTTCTCCTTTTTGAAGTTGAAATCAAATTTATCCTTTTTTTTCTTTTTTGGTCATTTAACATTAAAAGTCCCTCGATCTTTATCTTGTGCAAGGCTGTTGATGTGATTGGAAAGATAATTATATAATAGTAATCACTGTCCTGATTAGAAACTCATTTATAACCCTAAGCATCTTTGCCCTAATGAGTTATAATTTAATTAAAATTCACCATGGTTACTTATGCATGTTATTTATCTTTTTAGATTGAAGATGCCATGCTTATGTTTGACAAGACAACAAATCGTCACAGAGGTAATTATAGCAATGGGTCTGTCAGTGATCGCCCCCAGCTTATCTGATGGACTGAAGACTTTGATAGAATGAAACATTCAATTTGTAACTATTAGTCGGGGAAAAAAAAAGAATATGGCAAACTTGCTGGTTACCATAGTAACACTCCCACTCAAATCGGCAAAACATTATTTACAGCTATTTTGTCCAACTAAAAATAAAATTTTTGTTGTAAATACAGAAGATATTCATGAAATATTTCTTCTGTCATTATAACAGACAGGCCTTTTGCTAATCAGATACTGAAACCCCATTCATTTTAACTCTTTGATTGATAAGAACAAGCAAAAAAAAAAGGGAAAACTAGAGCTTATCTATGCTGAACTGTTCTTGTTTTGGAATTTTCTTTAATAACACACTTAAGCAATCGTATATATTTTCTCTATGATTTGGCCCTATAATGTACTCTGGATTTGTTGAATCGTACGTTTTTCAGCTATGATGACGTCCAAAAACAAGTTTTAATAGTTATTCCATAGAGGGCCAAGGACAAGTTAATGATAACATGAAAAAAGCAAGGAAATTACATGTAGTACAGAACTACACAAGTACTGCCTTCAGAGAGAGTCAATCTTGACAAGCTATTACGAGCTCAGACCACCTTGTTTTATTTACCTTGGCGTGGTTCTCCTAGAACTGGTCATACTCTTGTGTTGTGATTGTGCTGTTTTTGGTGCCCCCCATAATTAATGACATTAAAATCGACACCATCAATAAACCATTTTGTATAAGTAGAGGGATTCGCCCCGAGACAAAATAAGACATTACTGCAACTCCATCTATCATGAAATCATTATTTTTAATCAAGTTGGCATTCTTGGAGAGTGTGTGTGTAATTGCTGTGCTAGTGAAAGTAATTTTGCTGGTGCCAAACCCTCTTTCCAATCAGACTCGGCAAAGGAAAATTTATATTTGTCTTTTTTTTTTAACAACAGCTCTTTATATTTCAAGTTCTTGCGCAAAGCTTTGGAAGAAAAAAAGTTAAAGTGTGAAAGAGGGATTTGTGCATTATGGTTTTTAGCTTTTTAGAATATGCATGTAACTAGTAATAATTATTTTAGCTATGATAGTTCAGAAGTTTTTATACATGGGCTTTGGAATGCTTACTAGTTTTTAATTCCATTAGAGTAGCAATAAAATGCTTACTGTCAGAGCTGCAGAATGTCTTGATAATACAGTTCATAATTATCACTGTGTATATTGTGTCATATATAGTTGTCTTGGTCTTTGGGTAGTACTTCAGTATTTTACATTTAACACTGTAGTTATATCTATTGTCTTAGTGTAGTTATAGAGTTGGTGGATACAGCGTTTTTGGTCTAGATGAAGTAGAACAGTTTTATATAAAATTTCTTTGTTGTGGTCAGTAAGTTTCAATGGCTAATTATGTGCACATACTAGTAATTTTAGTGGTTTCAGGAAATCAGAAGACATTGTGAATAATTCTAGGACTTTGTGGATATTTACATGATTGTCTCTTCTTTGTTGAAATATCTGTGATTCTGGATTATTAGCCACAAGGAAGTGTCTTCTGTGAGTATATGTGTAGGAGAACAGAGTTATGGACAAGTGAAAAAAATATCTTCCTCAGGTGGGTCAGTAGATATTAGAGATCAGATAAAGTAGGCATGTACATTTGTAGTTAATATTGGGGGGGGGGGGGGGGGGGGCAAAGCAAGGAAGTTTCTAGAAGGAGTGAAGAAACTGAATCGATTAAAATCAACAAAGTTGATAGAATTTAAGGAATGCCAGTACACAGTTTGCTTCTAATGATGTGCATAGGATAAAAGACATTGACAGTAGAGCAGAAGTTTGATGTAGAAGAACAGCAGATTGTAAACACGTCATTAGAGTTGGAGCAAGAAGACGCTACTGAGTTCAAACTTTGTAAATAGCTCAAAGAGCACACAGATTCTTTTCTCTGACATCATGCAAGCTAAAGAATTGTAAAACCAGGTGCTCGGCATCACAGTTCATTGGGAGCTTTCTGCAGGGTTGCCTGTTTATTTTTGTGCCACTTGCTGCCGGAGTGTTGTCATTGTTTAACAGCTGAAGCCTGTCTGTCTGTGCCACAAAGCCCTGTTAAACAGCTGAACTTTCCATTTCAAGAATTCTGGGCTTTATTAATATATTATATTTTGTAAGTTTTTATGTATGTTGTGGCAAACAAGGTTGAAATGTAAATGTTTATGATTAGCATACCATCTTTTTTGGCTAAGACATACAGTCTTTATATTTCTACACCAGGGATTAGAGAAATGAGTATAAAAAGTCCTGTCTTACTCTATAAATAGGAGATGATTGCTGTGGAGTTCTCAGTCAGTAAATAGGTGAGAAATGACTGGTGGTATGTGAAAATTGTACAATTCTCACCAGATCCTGCAGCTTCAGAAGGCAGTTTTTGACAATCTGGTGATAATGGGACTAGTTTTCATAGCAGTTTACACCTTAGCAGAAAGAACAAAGCATGTGTTGAATGGATAGAAGAACTACAGTTAAATATACAGCTTACATAAAACAGCATTTAATACCTTCTAAATATACCCTCCATCCTGGGGAACTGATTCAAGATTAATGACCTGTGATTGAGCAAACACATTCCAGACTTTGATGGTAAACTCTTTAAAAGTTAGCTACCCTTTTCTCAAAAAAGTTTTTTTGGAAAAAGTTGAATCAAGTATCAAAGTTAACATGCTTAAGTAAACACAAGATGATTGGAAAACCTTCTAAGGACCTTTTAGACCTTGGTTCTTGCATTAAATAAACACATTTTTTAGATTGGTCTCGAAGAAGGATAAAGGAAACACAGTATTGAAAATATGCCCCTCATCAGAGTTTCTTTGTTGACTTCAAATTTAACTGAGAATGAGACTCTGCTACTTCTCGGTCTGGAGGGAAGCAGAGACAGAGATTCCTGCGTGTTTGAACCCTGATAAGATGGAGGAAGTAGGGTTAGGTTGTGTCTGCCAGAAAAGTATTTACTTGTCTGTAATACCAGCACTTTGTTGCCTAGCCCTGCATTTGGAAGATTAAAGTTGTCTTTTGAATAAGCCTCTTGAGAGAGTTAGTGGGTAGAATTTTCATGTTCTTGTCACTAAATCAAATTTTAGAACTGGCATTCCTTAAAATGGGTGATTGCTAGGGCTGGATTTACTTTTTATACACTTTAATATCCATCTGGTCTATACAACCCCATGCAAATTTTAGCAAGGGTCTCAATCATGTGTCAATATCTTATGATTGCATTACATTGTTTCCACATGATGGTAAATTTTTTATATTCATCAGATCTCAGGTGTTTTATAAAGTAAAGGTGTAAGGGGTCTTTTCTTTTTATTAATCAAAATGCAGTGTTGTGTGTATAATTCAAATGCCACATTGATTGGCATCCAATCAGAGCCTTCATTAGTTAGCAGCTCTCATCACCAGGGGGAAAAAGTCATTGATATTCATCTATGCTGGCCTGCAGTCACTAGCCTATATGTAAACACTCAAGCCAGGATATGAAAATTCATGGATTTCTCCCTCTTTTGTGATCAATTGAAAGAGTTAGATTGGAATTGGTCATTCTTATGTGATAGAGGCTTTGTAGGAGGTCATTACTATAGGCAACCAGTAATCATTTTTACAGGTCATTAAGTTTCTTTATTGGATGTCTCCTGGTATGACATGCATCTTAATGCCCGTCATCATTAGTTCACATTCCCCTTTTTGTCCGCAGACCCAAGTGTCAGCATCCTCCGCTGATAAGATATTTTACAGTTCACTTCTCTGTTTCATCTATACCCAACAGAAAACCTCTATCAGGAAAAAAAATGCATAAGTTTGCCAACTTCTCTAATTTATGACTTCTGCAGAACCGTATTAATTTGCGAGAAAACTGCAAATTATCTGAAGCAAGCATATGATGATAGAGCTCTCGAGATTGAGAGAGGTTGAGGGGCTTCATTATGGGGACCAGTTTACTCATATCACACACAAAATCCTCAAGTAGAGGTTAATTTACACCCTATTATTCTGGAAATGTAAGAAATTGGGTGTGATTGCTATTGGCATTGAACCATACCATTCATTTTGTCGACTTTAGCAGTCCTTGCTGATGATAAATTTCAGTGCATAGAGCTGGTTTATCATGACTGCTTCCCAGAGTCTTGGGAATATCCTTCGGTAATTACCATGATAACTAGTCCTGCTGTGAAAGGAAAACAGTTATGCAATGTAATTAAATTACACCAAATTATTGGAGTCGGCAGTGTTCATATAGTTCAGAATAATCACAGAGTATGTGTTTGGAGCTGTCTATAGGCTCAGATTGGCCACTCTCACTAATAGTCTCAAAGTGTGTCAAGTGCAAGTAATTAACGGTATCTCTTTATTATGTAAATTTGGGCTGATTTTAACAAATATTGGCTTCTCTCATTTGGTGCTCCTAGTCCATAGTTTCTATATTTAAAGTGAATTTATTCCAGGAAGAATTTAATGAGGGTCTTTGTATTGAAAATATCCAATGTTTTGCTGACAGAGCAGCCCAGTTAGGGGAATGAAATGGTTGGATTATATATTTTTTGAGTAATTAAGAAACTCAACAAGGCATATTTTTAAACCCTGAACATACCATGTAACACATTCATAGATCATTGTCAGATCTTGTATTTAGATCAACTTGGCATGTATCTATTTTTAAACAGTTGAAAAGTGATTTAGGAGAATCAAACATACCCAAAGTAGGGTGAAGATCTTTCATTAGTTCTTTTTTTAGATTTCTTGAGAAGAAGAAATAGCTGAAATGGAAAAGTTTATTTCATAGATTTACATCAAGAAAATAGAAGTGGGTTTATGTGAATTTTTTTTTTTGTGGGGTCTGATCATAAAGTCCGTTTGTAAGGGGATAGATTAGAAGTAACGGCGTATTTCACTTTTGATGTTGTAACGTCCTGTGAGATTTATCTTTATGTGGAGTG